AATTTATGGCTGATTTTTAAACTGATCAGCAATCGTGTGTCAGGTAATACCGACGCCACGTGCCTCGAGAAAAAATGACACTGTTAGAGGTAGTAGTGACGTCAATGTCCCGTTCAGCCAAGCATAATTAATTAGCGACTATCGGCGCGTCTAAAAATAACCGCGCTGAGAAAAAAACAAGAAAAAGTAAACGTCAGCATCGAGCATTTCTATCGAGATCGCGCGATATTATTATTTATGAGAATAATAGAAGGCAGCTAATGAGATTGCGTTGCATATAATAGCACCGGATAGTGGCGGGGTAGAAGTCCGTGGCGGGAAACGCGCGGGAGGAAGCGGGGAAGACATAAAACTCGGATAACGGATTGAGACGGAGCCTCGGGACGATAGATGGTGAAATTCTGCTGACCAAATTGTGCCCCCTCTCTTTTACGGGACAAACTCACGCGCTCAGAGCGAGCACAGGAGGGGAGGCGAGATTAAAATGCAGATATCCGAAACGTGAAACAAACACGAGAGAATTCGATCTATAATACGCGATACAACGGCGCAACGATGTAAATATTTCCCGGCAATGGAGAGATAAGCATTCGCGCCTTTAACATTTCATTTCTAATTACGATGTTGAGCACACAATACGTATAGATCCCACTGACCTCTTTTACCCTTCGGATTTATGAAGCGGATTTACGAACTGGCGGAAATTTAATTTGGAGTTTATTTTCAAAAATATTTAATTATTTGCAAAAAACGCGCGAGGAAAACAGCGACCGATGAAATTCTGGCCGAGGGGCGGGGAGGGGGGCCTCCGGCTTCGAAAAATTTATGCGCAAATGAAAATCTAAACGGAAACCAGTCGATAGTATTCGTATGCCGGTAATCCCCCCTTCGATTCCGCGTATTTTAACCTTGTCTTTCTTTACTGATACAACACACACACACACACACAGATACATACACACAGGCCTTCGACCTCGCGTTTTCGCGGCGTCATCGAAGAGCCCCCCTCCTTCACCTGCTGTTTCCCGAGAAAAACACGGCCGAAACGGGGGTAAGATTCATCGTTCTTGGACAACGATAAAGTCTCGAGAGAGAAAATCCAGGACGCGCGCGTACGCTCGCGGCCGGTTCGTAAAATAACGAGATTTATTTTATGGACAGAGATGGATCGACCGTAAAACGTCGCCCGGAACGAGCTGCGACGTTTTTCTGCTTCTTGCGACGCGTGGCACAAAGCGGTGCCTGAGGTTGCCGCCGTTTTCCTTAAAACGACGCGATTTTCCCCGGTTTACGACGTAACCGTCCCTACCTTGTATGTCTCCTCTTCCCTCCTTTAACCCTTTATTCGTTGGGTCATTGTGTACTTAATGTTTTCAGGCTTTTTAAGACACTATCGGCTAAGACAGACCTTTTCGTTTTTCTACCTTTCATTTTTTTCAACCCTCAGTATTGTCAGAGGTTGGAAAGGAAAGTTAGTTTCGTCCGACATCTACGGACGATTGTTCGACTGAGTTTTTGTAAAATGACCTGCGATGCCAAACTGTGACATATTTTCTCTTTCTTCTTGCGGACTTTTCCATCCGCATTCCGACCTCTTCAAGGCGATACAACAGCTACAATGCGATTCAAATATCCGTAACAAAGGATCAAATTTACAAACTGACTCGTGAATTCGAGTTTTCCCTTTAATTAAAATCACCGGTGAGCTTCGTCTTCTACCTGGTTCGTTTAACGAGGTGAAACGAAGGACTACTGGTGGCGGCAAGTTCATAAGTAAGCGAGTTTCTCGTTTTACAACGAGAAAAGACAGGATAAATATTCGTTACTTTCTCGCATGTCCACAAATTTTCCACAGTTTCTGGTTTATAACCGGATTTGGTTTGTGGGCCTATCTCCGCACGGGCAGTTGAACATGGTGCTAGATATTATTTTAAAATGCGACACGCTCGACGAGAGATACAAGAATGTGACAAGATAGGCATCAAGATGAGGGACTCTCTGGTTCGTTTCTTCCTGAACGGCGAGGCGTTATCGCCCGACAACGATAACGTTGGCGAGAAAATTGTTTCCCATCGCTGCATCGCCGCGCTCGAGGATTTCCCAGCGGAGCGCCGAACATATCCCGGTAATGTGATTCACAAAGTCTTCGGCGGAAGATCCTCAACTCCGAGAGATGAATCACAGGATCAGCGCGCGAGCGCATTGTTTCGAGCGCGCTATTTCGGGGACTTTGTTTCCGGCGCACGAATTACGCGACGAGTCAACATCAACTGAGAATGTATACGCATACATCGCGAGGGACTCTTGCAGGATACATCACCAAGATTTGTATTTTAAACGAGTGAAATTGCTGTGACGGGAACAACGGATTCTGAACAAAGCAAGACTATATCGAGGTACCTCTATTTAGTCGACTTGAGCAAGATTCTTGTTTGAATCTGGGCGAGAAAGAAATGTTTCAATTGTGAGAATCAAAATTCACTTCTCTGAAGCGAAGATGAAAAAGATTTGGTTCGGAGAACGTGAATTTTGGTTCTCGCAATCGAACATATGTTTGCCCGCTGGCGAAACAAAAATTTTGTTCAAGTCAATCGAACGGATTTCTCAGTGTATCATCTTTCCCACGCGAATCGTCTCAAATCTGTTCCCCCAAACTCGTGGGACTCGTTCCCAAATGGATAACGAAATATTTATACTGAGATACGAAGCGGCACAAATCTTCAAGGCCGAATATCTACGACATAACGAAGTGCCTTTAATACCGCAACAACAGCGAGGCGTAAAGGCAACGGGGTAAACGAGTCTTGGAAATCACACGCGCTGATAAGTCAAGTGATTATTGCGAAAACAGTTGCGCAATTCCAAAGCGAGATGCAGTGAAAAAGAGAGAGAGAGAGCTCGCGATGATAATCGGCGCGTCCGTCGTCGAGCGGAATTCTCGCGCGGCTGGCTGGATCGTCGCAAGCGTGTTTTCCGCCGCAGCGAGAACAAGAACGTCCGTCGACGTCATCGTCAAGGTACAAAGTACGTTTCGTCGCGCGCGCTGCGATGGGCATCCACGTGTGGTTATCGACCGATCGCGCGGGGTCTCTCTCTCTCATCGCGACTCGCTCGAATGAAAGCGCGAATCGCGACGGTCGACCCTGACTTTTCAAGCCGGATCGATCATCTCTCGAGACGACAACGTTCAACACGTGCGGCCGACGAGCTTCGAACCGTTCGACGCTCACTATCGTGAGATAATGCTCGATAATTTCGATCCGTTCAGGTATAGGTGGACGAGGACGAAAAGCCAAGCGATAATACGCGACGAGTGCCTCTACGCGATAACGCATTACGAATAGCTAAATTTAATCGAAGCGACAGACTCTCTCGAACGGTGCGCCGCCTGCGATGCGTCGCGCGTCACAGCTTGCCGCGCAATTCTTCGCCGATCGCGCGTCATCCCGCGATTAACGCATTAATGGAAGGCCGATCGTTTCACCAACACTCGAAATACAAAGGTTCGCGCATTCCGCGATTCCCTATCCTCGTGAGAGTCCAAGCTTTCGGCAATATTTCGGAAAAACCCTCCGTGAAATTTCAGTCGAGCGTCTGTCGCAAGGTAATTCTCTCGAGTTACTCACGAACCAGTTAATCGAGTCGACGTTCCGAAGGATCGCCAAAAATGCGCGTGATTTTGCGGAACGCGCGCACAAAGGCGAGCGAGGGAGCGACGCGATCAAGTTCCGCGCAATGTTCGCTGATTACGCGTCATTTCGCAATAAAACCGGCGTAGTGAGAGCGAGCGAGAGCCGACTCTGTCTCGCGGAAGGAGAGGGAGAGAGACTCACCGTGCGTTCACGAGGAGCGAACGACGACGCCTGCTGTCGTCGCGCTGATCGAAAGTGATCTCGATGGCGGGTTATCACCGCGATCACCGGAATAATCGCACGGAACACTCGCCAACAACGGCCGTCGCTCCACGCTGGAAGGCACTCTCATTCTCTCGCCGAGTTCCCGTACTCACGCACTCGCGCGTCTCGTTGAGGGAGGAACGAGGGGAGCGGCTAATCCCAGAAACGCGCGCTCCTGCTCGTCGAATCCGAGCTCTCTCGGAACTCGCGGACACACTCCGACCAAAAGGAACCGATCGGACGCGATATGCACCAAGAAGCACACTGTGTTTCGCGATTATCTCTCCGCGCGTGCACACTCACACACACACACACTCCGCGCACGAGAGGACGCGCGCGCGCGCGCGACACACTCGCGTGGTGGACCGTCACGGCGCGCGCGACAGATCGACGACGGGGGTATCGATAGAAAGAGACGCGCGCGTGCGACGCTGGGCCGACGCGATGGCGATGCGACCGTACGAGCGAACGTTCTGCACCAGACGATCGTCGACGAGAAACTGGCACCTTCCGGTCGAGACGGAGAGAGGGCGCGGGACGGGAGCGAGATAGAGACGCGCACGGAGAGAGAAAGATACTGCACGTGTATACGCGCGCACGGGGGCGTGTGTAGGTGCCGCGTGCGTCGGTATGCGAGAGGTAGCGCGTGTCGAGAGACCGTCGTCTGAGCGCGCATACGGAGAGTGCGGGACTGAGAGAGAACGAGGAAGAGCGGGAAGAGTGGGAAAGAGGCGGGAAGGGAGGGGGCAGGGGAAAATCCACGACCTAGCGACCAGCGTCACAGGGACGGCCAACTACTACCACACGCTACTCCTCCGCTCTCTGTCTCTTGACGGAACGACCGAGAGAGAAGGACACGTTGCCAGAGCACGAGGAGAGGTGAAAAAGGCGCGCGAGTGAGCGAACGAGGAGGCGAGCGCGCGCACGTGTCGGTATGCGACCGGCGTTTTTCGTGTGCGTGCTTGCGTGCGTGCGCGAAGAGCACAGCCAGCACTGAGAGAGAAGGACGAAGAGAACGCGACGGGAAGATTGAAATGAGAGAAACAGCGAGAGGGAAAAAGAGGGTTAGCGGAGCGAGAGGAAGAAAGACAGGGAACAGATAGAGAAAGCGAGATGGTGTGAGAAAGAGAGAGAGAGAGAGAGACGGAGGAGTGGGAGATTATCAAAATGGCCGCGCGCGCACCTACTCCACGTCCTCCTACTCCTCCGCACCTCCGACCACCTCCACCGCCTCTCTATATTCCTACGCCGCTATTCCTCCACCTCGTTCGAGCCGCGCGGAAACCGCCAGGCGCAATGCCGCCCGATATAATGGTAGTGGACTACCGTGACAGTCTCGCCGATCTCGGTGGTGATGGTGTGGCTCGTGCGCTGGAGATGCAGTGTAATGTATATGAGCGTGGGGTGAGCGAGGAGGGGAAACAGAGAGAGAGAGAGAGAGAGAAACTGTCATCGTCGTCCGCGCGCGCGAACTCGAGAGAGAAAGGGATGAAAGAAAATCTTGGCGATGCTCAATGGGATACCGAGATTCTCTTTGCTCTGGTCGAGCCAGGGAATCAAAATAATACGCTCGCGAACGATAACTGGGGGGGAGGGGGGGCGATAAAAGATTAATTAAAGTAAGACGCGGTTGCGTACAAATGAAATTAAGGCCGGTCGCGTAATCGCGCCGACGAGATAATATCTCGGATATATTTTAACGGATAATGGCGATGTTACACGGGCAACACGCATAAATTCATTAACAATTAATAGTTAATAGAAATGTAAATCAATTTTACCAACGACGCGGCAACTGAAAAAGCTTCATTAGCGATGATCCGCTTCATTCCGCATTCCCGGCAAAGCGCATGCTGGCGTGTAAATAATTAAAAGCGGATAGCTCACTGTTTAGCCGTAACGATTAATCGTCGTTTATGAGTAATAAGCGCGGCGGCAATTTGTTTTCGGAATTACGCGAAACGACAAGATACCCGCGCTGCATTATGCACGGGTGTTTCGCGTGCGCGATTCGTAATTAACGATAATTAACATGTCGCGCTTAATGTAACGCGAACGTGAAATAATTCAACGGCGGCGCGAAAAATCGGTCGCCGACAATTAATCCGTCCTCCCTCCCCCCCCCTCTCTCTCTCTCCCTCTTTCAAGAGGAACTCTAATTGCTGATTTCACCGTGTGCGTGTGTCCGTATTATGCGTATATCTTCACAGATGGAAGAGCTTTTCCAGCTTGAGAACCTGCCGGCGTTACCCACGAGGGGAAGGATGCGCGCGCGCGCGTTTCGCCCGCAAATGACTTCGATTTAAAGTTGCCGGCGATGTAGCAGCAGCCACCCCAACTTCCTTGCCGCCCCCCTCACCCCGGTTCCCCCCTCGGCTAGGAGTGCATAATATCGCGTTAAACTCGCTTTGAAATTCGAGGCGTACCCGCCGCCTCCACCTACGACTAATTCCCGGACAAAGCGCTTTACACGAAAACAGAGCCGGTGCCGCCGCCGCGCGCACGGCGCTGCGTCTGTCGGTTTCGGCGCGGTTGACTGCGAAAACCGTCTTGCATGTAATGCAACAGGATCGATACGCGCGCGGCCTCGCGCAGCGAGTGCAAAAATAATGCCGTTGTGTAGCCGGGCGTCGAGGATCGGACATTGAAACGAGCGCGCGTGAAAAGCTCGTCGCCGGTGTCCTAAAAAGAGATTAAAAAGAGAGAGAGAGAGAGAGAGTGACGCCTATCGAAGCGGGACTTTTCGTATACATTTAAAAAGCTGAAAATCGAATGTAAAACGGGAGGCCGGAGGAAACTTAGCGCGTTTCCAGCTCGGTTTTCGCGCGTATAACAATACGTGCGAAAAAACCGATATATCGCCGAGCTTTTTCGCGATGTCCCACTTTACGCTCAACTTTTGACATGGCGAATAAACTTCCGATTAAATTCGTGCGCGCGTGGAAACGAGTTCTCCAGTCGGTCAAACCCTCGGACCGATCGCAGGTCGCATGAGTGTGAGAGCGCTGACAGTCCCTCCCTCCCCCCCCCCCC